GCCTACTTTGTCATTATGGCTGAGTATGGCTTCAAATGGGACCTATTGTTTGGTCTGAGAAAGGACTGGGATTCCAAAGGTGTCAATGATTTAGAGGATTCATACGGACAGGAATGGGTTAGTAGCTGTCAATTCATATCTAATATCTGTATGTTTGCATCAAATATCACATGAATAATGGGTTGACGGTGTTGTGGACAGACATATAAAGCGCGAAAACAAGTGGAGTACACCTGTCACACGGCATACTTCGTGTCCATAGTTGTGGTCCAATGGGCTGACCTCATCATCTGTAAGACCCGACGCAACTCCGTAATACAACAAGGAATGAGGTCTCCATACCGTTCCCTTATATCCACTATTCAATGAATAATTGCTTTATTTGATTGAATGACTAATTGAATACAATTCTCTTCCCATCGAAACCCATTGCAATGCGAAACCCATTCCCAACACAACACCACAACAGGAATCATGTCTTGAATTTTGGTCTATTATTCGAGACATGTTTAGCAGCGTTTTTATCATGAATACAATTCTCTTCCCATCGAAACCCATTGCAATGCGAAACCCATTCCCAACACAACACCACAACAGGAATCATGTCTTGAATTTTGGTCTATTATTCGAGACATGTTTAGCTCGCAAAAATAGGATGACAGGCCCTTACGGATATGAAGAGTCTAATATAGGTAATTTCATTTATAGTTAAATAATAGTTAAGAAAAGTTAATACACTACGCTCACTCTCAGCTTTTTTCGCTTTTTTAGTGGAGAAAAGTAAATAATTTGTGTGAAGAGTGTGTGAAAGTTGAACACAAAAACACTTTCATCTTTTAAGTAAACTTTGTTTGTGCGGTACATAAGGCTTACTTAAAGTGAAAACATAGACTATAATATTACTGAAGATAGCGAATGATATGTCCTCCTGAGCTCTAACATACTGGCCATGCTATAGGTTCTCGTGGTGGTTCATAGCATTGCCTTTCTCGCTATTGATATTCATCTACGACGAGGTCCGGCGGTTCTTAATTCGTCAGTACCCGGGCGGTTGGGTAGAGCGCGAGACCTACTATTAACACCGGGTGCTCGGCTTACGTCGATTAGGGGAAAGGGCGCAACAAAAGCACAAGAATTTTACAGAATATTAATATTTCTCAACAAAATATATTTATATAACTTCGAAATACAACCACTTTTTTGATGTGAATACTTGATCTTAACAAATAAAACAAAACAATACGAAAGGTTTTTTCAGCGAGTTTTTAATTTGAATATATACCGGTACTAAATTTATATATTATACACAATGAATGCCCTCCTCATCCATGTTCTCTATTTTCAAATTCTCTATAATATTATTATTGGATTTTTCAAACAAAACTCCTTTACTAGAGTTCATAATTGTGAAGCCTTTTAGATACCAATAGTTGGCTCTTTTCAAATGCAATCCAATGCCCTCTTTGTTAGTTATAACGTTGAGCGTTGAACGCCGTATCACAGCATCGGATGCCTCTCGTCCTCAAGACTCAGCTTCAGATTTATATCCAAAGAATAGGCGGACCTAAAATGGGTTTCACTTGTTGGGACTTATTTACGGTTACTTACGATGGATTCTTTAGTGCAAGTCTTTGTGTCACATATATTCATAATTTATATCAAAGTAATTGTCTTTCTCTTTGTAGACTCTTCTGATGATTGGATCCTTTTTCCTGCTCTTTATGGATGTCTCACAGACCGAGAAGAAGAAGAGAAGATTTCTCAACAGAGGACTCGAGGCAACCAAACCACAACTCGCCCTTTGATCCCATAGTTATCTCATTGTATCCAAAGAAGTGTTATAATATAGAATAACATATGTTATAGAATACAATGCAATCTAATAATTTTATCGAAATAATGAAACTATAGTTATTTGTTGATTTGTAGAAGTGCTCAGGATAACAAGTAAACCACAAACAGTAGAGTAGAGTAACTGTAATAAAATGATTTCGTGGCACAAGTCGTGTCTCACTTTTGCCTCTCATTTGCATTCATTTCATACACTCTTTCATTGCATTCGCTATTCATTTGAATTGTGTTTCAAATTCAGTGATGTCTTCGCCAAAGACGGTAATGGTTTGCAATGATTATTGTATTCAAAATAAGATCACATCACTAATAGTGCATTGATTTTAGCCCAAGAAAGAGACCAAAGCCAAGAAACGGGATAAAGAGATGGAGTCTCTTAAGAAAGAGGTTGTTATTATTGATGAACACGAAGTGTCTTTGGATGAGCTCTTCGCCAGATATGGTCTGCAGAGCCCAGAGGCCGGACTCACTCAGGCTAAGGCCAAAGAGGTGTTTGCCAGGGATGGACCCAATGCTCTTCGGCCACCGCCAAAGACACCGGAATGGGTGCAGTTCTGCCGACAACTGTCCGGAGGGTTCGCTCTCTTGCTATGGATCGGAGCCTTTCTCTGCTTCTTCGCCTATGCCATAGAAGTGGTCACATCTGGTGAACCCAATCCCGACAATGTCTGTCACTTTATGTCCCAAATCTATGTCATAATCGCTGAAAGAATTGTGTTTTGCAGTTATTCTTAGGAATAGTGCTCACAGTTGTGGTCATAATTTCGGGCGTCTTTGCCTACTATCAGGAATCCAAGTCATCAGCAATTATGGAGTCCTTTAAGAATTTAGTGCCGCAGACGGCAACAGTGGTGCGCGACGGACAGGTGGTGACCATAACTGCTGAGGACGTAGTGGTCGGGGATATCGTCGAAGTGAAAGGTGGAGACAGAATACCCGCCGATATTCGTGTTATTAAAGGTAGTCATGAAATAAATGTCATATTATTGACAATAGTTTCTAAACACCTATTTTGACACAACAGCCCACGGATGCAAAGTAGACAACTCGTCACTGACGGGTGAATCTGAGCCCCAGAGCCGCAACACCGCGAAGACGAGTGACAACCCTTTGGAGACCTCCAATCTGGCCTTCTTCTCGACCAACTGTGTCGAGGGCGCCGCCACTGGGGTTGTGGTCAATACGGGCGACCGAACTATTATGGGTCGTGTCGCTAACCTCACGACCGGTCTAGAGACGGGTCAGACACCCATTGCCCGGGAAATCGAGCGCTTTATTCAAATCATAACAGCCATAGCAGTCTTTCTGGGCGTCACCTTCTTTATCATAGCCATTTCAGTAGGCTATCACTGGTTGGAAGCCGTCGTCTTCCTAATAGGCATTATTGTGGCCAATGTTCCCGTAGGTATGCCTCACACTACCCACTGATGCGTGAAATTGAGATTATAATCAATTTGTTTCATTCATTCACAACAGGACTGTTGGTAACTGTGACCGTATGTCTCAGATTAACGGCCAAACGGATGGCCATTAAGAACTGTTTGGTGAAGGACTTGGAGGCCATGGAGACGTTAGGCTCGACGTCCACCATATGTAGCGACAAAACGGGAACTCTGACCCAAAACCGGATGACAGTCGCGCACATGTGGTTCGACAACCATATCATTGAGGCGGACACTACTGAGGACCAGACCGGTGTCCAGTACGACAAGAGCTCCTCCGGTTGGAAGTCATTGAGTCGCGCCTGTTGTCTCTGCAGTCGGGTATGTGTTACGATACCTTATTACTGTGTTGGACTAATTAGGGCACTGTGTTGTGTGTAGGCCGAGTTTAAGGCCGGTCAGGACAACATCCCTATCCTTAAACGGTATATTCACATCACTATTGCTATCATATATTCGTGTAATACTAATCAAATGAATACTGCTTTGTATTGTGCAGTGAGTGTGCGGGCGATGCGTCCGAATCAGCAATTTTGAAATGTATGGAAATAGCGATCGGAAACGTGACTCAACTCAGGAAACGAAACCCAAAGGTCTGCGAAATACCATTCAATTCGACGAAAAAATATCACGTGACTATCCACGAGACGGAGGACCCCAACGACCCGAGCTATTTGTTGTGTATGAAGGGGGCGCCCGAACGCATCCTCGACCTCTCGGGCACTATATTGATCAACGGAGAGGAGAAGCCTTTGGATAAGGATATGAAGGATGCCTTTAACGACGCCTATCTTAAGTTGGGAGGTCTGGGCGAACGGGTAATAGGTTTTAGTGACTTCAAACTTGCAACCGATAAGTATCCTAAAGGATTTACCTTCAACTCGGATGAGCCCAACTTCCCACTCACTAACCTCCGGTTCCTGGGCTTAGTGTCGATGATTGATCCGCCGAGAGCTGCGGTGCCCGACGCTGTGGCCAAATGCAGGAGCGCCGGCATTAAAGTAATTATGGTTACCGGCGATCACCCGATCACTGCTAAGGCTATAGCCAAAGCCGTCGGCATTATATCAAAAGGTAAGTCTTATAAGCCATTTAGCAATGAGTATAACAAATGAATGTCTTTAATGTCGTCCTTCTCATCATCAATGAAATGACAGGCACTGAGACCATAGAAGACATCGCTCTGAGAACTAATACTCCGGTAGAAAAGGTGAACCCGAAGGACGCGAAGGCGGCTGTAATTAGCGGACAGAAGTTGAAGGAAATGGACTCAAAACAGTTGGACGAAGTGCTCGGAAATCACTCGGAGATTGTGTTCGCCCGGACGTCACCGCAACAGAAGCTCTTTATAGTGGAGGGCTGTCAACGACAGGGGGCTATAGTTGCTGTCACTGGGGATGGAGTTAACGATTCGCCGGCGCTTAAGAAGGCAGACATTGGCATCGCGATGGGTATCACCGGATCTGATGTCTCGAAACAAGCGGCGGATATGATTCTGTTGGACGACAACTTCGCGTCGATAGTGACGGGTGTAGAGGAGGGACGGCTGATCTTCAATAACCTCAAGAAGTCGATTGCATACACATTGACGTCAAACATACCGGAAATCTCGCCCTTCCTCTTCTTCATAATATTCAACATACCGTTGCCTTTGGGAACGATTACCATACTTTGCATTGATTTGGGCACCGATATGGTGCCCGCCATCTCCTTGGCCTACGAACAGGTGAGATACACCGGTGCCCCGTATATATCCCATATATCGGTGCCTTATTTGTATTGATTTGATGTTTAGGCCGAAAGTGATATTATGAAACGACAGCCCAGAGACCCAAAAGTAGACAAATTAGTTAACGAGAGACTCATATCCTTGACGTACGGACAGATAGGTATGATTCAAGCGGCCGCCGGCTTCTACGCCTACTTTGTCATTATGGCTGAGTATGGCTTCAAATGGGACCTATTGTTTGGTCTGAGAAAGGACTGGGATTCCAAAGGTGTCAATGATTTAGAGGATTCATACGGACAGGAATGGGTTAGTAGCTTAGTTAGTAGCTTAGTAGCTGTCAATTCATATCTAATATCTGTATGTTTGCATCAAATATCACATGAATAATGGGTTGACGGTGTTGTGGACAGACATATAAAGCCCGAAAACAAGTGGAGTACACGTGTTACAAGGCATACTTCGTGTCCATAGTTGTGGTCCAATGGGCTGACCTCATCATCTGTAAGACCCGACGCAACTCCGTAATACAACAAGGAATGAGGTCTGCATACCATTCCCTTATATCCACTATTCAATGAATAATTGCTTTATTTGATTGAATGACTAAAATGAATACAATTCTCTTGCCATCGAAACCCATTGCCAACACAACACCACAACAGGAATCATGTCTTGAATTTTGGTCTATTATTCGAGACATGTTTAGCAGCGTTTTTATCCTACTGTCCGGGAATACCTATACTTCTCAGATTATATCCATTAAAGTAAATATCAATTTATTATCAATTCTTTTCAATTATGTGATGCGAGTGAGAGTCGAAAAAAGCGAAAAAAGTGGAGAAAAGTAAATAATTTGTGTGAAAGTGTGTGAAAGTTGAACACAAAAACACTTTCTCTCTTAAGTAAACTTTGTTTGTGCGGTACATAAGGCTTATTTAAAGTACCTGAGCTCTAACATACTGGCCATGCTATAGGTTCTCGTGGTGGTTCATAGCATTGCCTTTCTCGCTATTGATATTCATCTACGACGAGGTCCGGCGGTTCTTAATTCGTCAGTACCCGGGCGGTTGGGTAGAGCGCGAGACCTACTATTAACACCGGGTGCTCGGCTTACGTCGATTAGGGGAAAGGGCACGCTATTGATATTCATCTACGACGAGGTCCGGCGGTTCTTAATTCGTCAGTACCCGGGCGGTTGGGTAGAGCGCGAGACCTACTATTAACACCGGGTGCTCGGCTTACGTCGATTAGGGGAAAGGGCGCAACAAAAGCACAAGAATTTTACAGAATATTAATATTTCTCAACAAAATATATTTATATAACTTCGAAATACAACCACTTTTTTGATGTGAATACTAGATCTTAACAAATAAAACAAAACAATATGAAAGGTTTTTTCAGCGAGTATTTAATTTGAATATATACTACATCCAATTTACCCAAAATTTACCCAGTACTGTTTTCCGTATGTAATGTATTGATAGCTTACAATCACTTTAACCTTGACTTCTATGATTTAACAGGACTTCTAAAGAAAAGTTGGGTTTTCCTGAATTAAATAGAAGTTTATTGTTGTTTAAGTCATTATATTTTAAGAGCTTTTTAACAAATCCAGTGAAAACAAAATAAATAAAAATTTCCTTAAAAACTATTATTGCATAAAAATAATAAAATTTATTATAGTAGATATAAAAATAAAGATATTTAATAATAACAATGCTTTGTTTATAATTAACTAACAAAATAAACTAATAATAATAATTATTAATAAACTACTGTATTTCTTAAAGATTTGCGAATAACCGATAAAAATACAATAAAACTCTATTACCATAAATTGTCTTTAAATAGAAAATTTAGAAATATAGTTTATCATAATTTGAATCTACATTTTCGACACAATCCTTATGTTGCCGTCGTTTTGGGGAAGGGTGTCGGCGTCCAGGAGATAGTTAGCGGCCTTTCGTCCACTGAGGAAAGCCCCGTGAACTGTAGAGTAGAAGGACGGGTGGGTCGCCTCACCCGCGAACACCATAACTGGCTGTCAAAAAATCAACAATTTTAGTTCATTTACTCCAAATTCTTTAGAAACTATTTTTGTTTTCAAATCAAGATCTCTATAATTAGCGTTATCTCTGAAAATGTCATTAAAATTATGTTTTTCGTCAAATAATCATTATATTGACGATTAAGACATCAATGAATGCTTTTACAAACTCTTTACAAAATAGATTAAAAATGAGTTCTAAAACGATTAAAAATGTCTAAAACATGCAATTTTATCGATCACTTTATCAATTGAATAATTGTTTTCTGATTTAGTAAGAATGTACCATAAATTTGTGTACCAAAAAACTAATTGACAGATATGTGCGAATGAATGAAATACCTTGTCGTGAGCCGGGTCTGCATATATGGGTTGCGATAAGAGTTCAATGTCACGAACTGATGAATTGGATGGTATGTAGGAATAGGACCCCAGAGTGAAGGGATCACTTCCCCATCGGGTGATTATTATATTATCTGCTTTCGGGAACTTCTTATTGTTGAAGAATTGCTGCAATAATCCGGTTATCTCTTCATTGATTATCTCATCATCGGTTCGCTCTAACTCGACGGCCTCTTCACCGGACGCCCACATCAGCAGACAGTGGTTTGTTATCTGGGAAATGGAGTAAATCTTCTGAAAATATTTACATTTCGGAGGATTCTGTTTATCCCATAAGACAATAGTCTCGTCGACGCTGATATCAATGAAGTTATTAAGTGGTAGACTGTACTCGAGGAATATCTTATCAACGGTTCCAAAGCCTAATGCCTTAATGGCTTCGAGTTTATATTGCGGTAGTTTTGGCTCAAATAAAATGTTTGAATCTCTCTTTAAGACACCTAATG